GGAGTATGCCTCCTGAAAGGCAGTTATGTGAATTGCTATAAGGTTTCAGCAAACACAACTTAAATTCCAAGTCTGGATCAGTAAAGTTTGAAATAAAAAATTCTTAAATACCCTTTGAGTAATGTCTTCATAGATTTTTAACTTTTATTTTGGTGCATAGATACGGAATTTTTAAAAATAACAGAAGTAACTGAGGAATTTGACTTCTCTCTCAGCCTCTTCAAATGAGATTTTCTTTTGGACTCTTTGGTGGGAAGATCCCATTTCACTATGGGATCTACATAAAACCATTTTTTTGAGCTTTGGAAAGTTAAGCCTTGTTGCGGATTTAAAAATGTGTATGGTTTAACAAATAAAGAAGAATATGCAGAAAGGGGAAATACTTTTTTCCTGTCAAGGTTCTTTCCCATCTTTGAAAACGTACCTTGGACTACAGTTTCAGAAAGTAACTGATCTTTATTTAAAAAGAAACACATTATTTATAATTTATTTTAGTTGTACACGAAGATGCACAAGAAACTGTATCTGCTTTCAAATTGTAGGCAGTAACTAAAGACTTCAAAGGAGACTGCGAAAGAGAAAGTGCAGTTGACTGAATTGTAAGCTGTAACAGCAGGGATGACTCATCCACCCTGAGTATCTAAAGCAGCTCTTAAGGGAGGCACACAGTTTCTGCTGCAGTAGAATCCAGAAGGGAATGAAAGGAGTAGTGGAATCTGTGTGTTCATTATGACTGAACATCACTATCCCACACCAGTGGCTTTGTTTTGACTTGGTTTTTGCCTGCACCATTCCCTTACGTTCTGGCACTTTTGTGGATGATCAGGTGCTGTAGTCCTTCCCATCAGTGTGCAAAACTAATATGCTATATATATGCATTAGGGCTAAAGGCTTCTCAAGCCTTGGGATGTACTGTGCATGTTAAGAATGATTGTTATGCATTTGCAGTAAATCTAATGCTTTTCCAGAAGTCTTAAGACTTGCTGCATGTGGCTGGTATAGCTCTTCCTCATGCAGTGATATATGCACGTCATAAAAATGGTAGGGGGGGTGTAGGTAGTTCTTAGTGCACCAAGTTGGCAATGAGAAAATGAGCTTTTAGGGGGAAAAAACGTAAGTTGAATTAATTGTTCTGGCAAGACTTTTGGGGAGCATAAAGGAACGCTGATGTAGTACACGGAATTAGCTTGGTAATTACAGTAGCAAATATTGACTGACTTTGAGAACGGGATTAACATTCATGAGCTGGCTAGTAAAGTCCTCCCAGCTAAACCAAGGGATGGAGATGGGGGACAGCATCCGGGGAATCTCCTTTCTGTGGGACTGTTAGTACTGAAATGAAGGAAAATGACTGCTGCGTGAAGAGGAGTGAACGGCGGAGCCTCAAACTGCGTATTATATTCAAAACGCATGTGTTGAGTGAGAGGCACATTGTAAGCTCAAGGGGACTGCAGAGTCTGAAGCCATTCGTTAAATAACTAGGATAACTAGGTGTTCTGCCTCTGTCCTCAAATCCTTACTCCCTGCCGCTCTTGCTTTCGTAACTTCAAAAAGCCAGACCAAGTTAGCTTTGCCATGGCATGTTAGTTTTTTAGACGTTGATATTAGGTCTTTATCTTTCAGAACATAGCACACTAGAAAAGCAATTCATTTAGGAGTGGGTAAGTTATTTCATGAACCCGCTAGCTTAATAATCTAAAACTTGTGCGGCCCATTTATCTCAGCTCCTATTGTACATCGTGTATATTCTCAAAACCATTGATGTATACATATCTGTTTCAGGGTGTTTCATTGCAAAACTCCTTGAAGTGAGGAATGTATCTAGAAAAAGAATTATTGACAAAATGATACGAAATTTACTTTGCTTAGTTCCTGTTGTATCGTAATAATATTCAAGATATTCCAAGTCAGCATGTAGATTTCAGCACGCTTTACAGTACCTTGTGAAACAGAAATATCTGTCAGAGCAAACTTGCCAAAGCAGAACTGTAACGTACATGCATATTTAAAATCTGCCGAGAGCAGGATTCAGGCTTGCAGTCTTTGAATGTTTCTTCGGTAATAATAGCTAAATCGTGTTGTCCTGATCTTTCCAGTAACCTCATATCCTCACTTCAAACCAAATCTCTGCACAGCATGTGCAAATTAAGCTCTACTTGTCATTGCTTAGCCCTGACCCAATCCATAGAACTAAGCTGAACTCTTAATGATTTCCTAAAAAGTTTTTCCTGCAGTAAAATAGGAGAGATTAGATAACATCAAACTAAGATTGTTGCTGCCTATATAGAATTATCCTTGCAATTAATATTCCAGTGAGTGGGTGGGAGTTAAGGATTAGGAAAGGAAGGTGTTGGATGAGAGAAGAAATCACAAATCCTTGAAGAAACTGGCTTGGCTCCGGATTACTGCGTATTTGGAAACCCTTTGTTCAGATGACCCAAATTTCAATCACTGCTCCTTAACTCGGGTCAAATGACAAATCGCTTTCATCTGAAAATCAAGCATGATTGTGGACTTTCCAATAGTTTAAAAAGTTAGCTATTAAACTCAACTTAAAATTGGCTCCATGTTCATTAGAAACTGTTATCCGTGTAGTAATTGAGGCATACTATTTTTAACTTGGCACTTTAACGGACTTAAGCTAATTTCCTCCTTTTACTGTTATTCAGAATAATTCAACTATTATCTTTCTTGCAGTTCGCAATCGGGCTATACTTGCAGTTCTGAAGGGCTATGTTTTGCCTTCCTTTCTAGGTAGGCAAATTAAAATACGTTCTTTCCTAGCTTAAAAATGTACTGGATTTTTATATAGGGTATGTGGAGTCTTTCATAATAGTAGATATTTTACAGGTACTTTGTACATGTTCATAATAATGTAATATATATTTTTTTTCTGCTTACACTGTTGTACTGAGTGGTTGGTTTTTTTTATTTTATTTTATTAGATGTTAAGCTGTTAAGCTTTGAAGTCAAAGCTTAGGAAGAAAAGAGCTGTCAGTAATGGAACAGTGTGGAACTATGAAATGTTTGTTATTTCTTAATTTAATGTTAATATGGAGGCATTGTTACGTAATGCTGAGCACCACTGTGTCCTTAAGGTCCACAAGTAATAGGGCAAAGTTTCAGCTTTGAACTTTAGGATAACTAGAATCGTTTCCATCAAGTGCCACTGAGGCACTAACTAAATCCAGTTTGATTCTATGGTAGGTTTTAGCATTATATTTTTATGTTGAGTGTGCCAGTGCATTTTCTCCACTTCTTCTTTTTAGCTTGTGAAGAGTTTAGAAGCATTGTCTTTACATGGCTTTTAACTGCGCTAGGTCAAATAGGTTTCCAGTGAGTGGGATGGAGAGATTCAGGAATAGCTCCAGCTAATGGGAAAGTGCATGAAGAGCGTGCCTGAGTGTTTTGTAGGTTGACCTATTCTGCATGGAGACGCTGGCACTTCTAAAACAAAGTCTAACCGCCTTGAATCCTGAGCTTCATGTATTGCTTTGCTCTCTTTGGAGTAGTTTGTGCGTGCCTATGCGTGGTGGTTTGGAAGGTGGTGTCTTCCTTGGCTTTGTTTACAGCGTTCGCATGGAGCAATAAAAGAAATGAACAAAAACCAGTGGAGGCTGACGCTAAAATGACAGACTAACTGTAAAGTAGAACAATTTGCATGTCAACTATTGGCCAAGTTGATTCTTCCCCCTTCCCCCAAGCAAACATAACTCCTCCCTCCCCCCCCAACAATTCATACACTACAATGAGCAAATAGACTGAAAAGTTCATCTTCCTAAAGGCTTGCATATACAGTTGTCTTTGAGTGCTTGCGAGTGAAAAATAACGTTTTCTATATAAACATATTGGCTGTGTTAGTTGAAGAAGTGGATAACTTTTATCCCAGGTATACCAAGCGCCACGTAAAGGTGAGGAAATATTCTGCTGTAGGCCTAAATTCAGCAAGCGTCCCAGTCAGGGAAGAGAAAAATTGTGCATATGCTTGACTTTTGAGGAATGCACTTGTATGGTCTTTAACAGAGATAAATTTAGGTATTATGTTAAATTCTTTCTTGTAAAGAATCAGAAAACAGCGAAGCTTGTTTGAACGGATGCATATCTTATAGGTTTGATCGGTAATTTTTGGCCAAGAAGTTTTACACAATCAAAAGGCTATTTTAGTAGCTGCTTTGAGAGTAACACAGCAGTAAAAAACAGTATTTCCTTTTTCCTAGTTTTGCTTTCATTTCCTTTCTTCTGATAGTAAGATCCTTCTGCCACAACTTTTTTTTTCATGATGAAAACTAGAAAGCAGTTATATTCTTTTGCCTAGTTTCCTAAGTAAATGTGGTGTGTGCCGTCTCCCCGTCCACCTAATGGCTTTTTGTGAACCGATTTTGACTATTGTTCGCCTGTTGTGAACCATTTGGACAAAACTCGGTGGAAGAGTCAAGCCCTGCAGGTAGCTCAGGTGCC